CCCTGTATCGACTACGGTCTACTCGCAGCTTTGGACTGGCCAAACGCACCCTGGATTCGGACATTCCACCTGTTGACGCTCCCACCCCACTCTGCCACGTATTTGACTGGTCTGCCCCGGGCGCCCAGGGCTGCCAAGAGGGGGCATCCCGGAAGCTAGCTTCCCCAAACCTCTCCAACATATCCATGGTGGTTACACCGAGGCCGGAAGAATAACTCCAGTCCCCCTCTTCCTCCTCCTCCGTCCATCGCCTTTCCCGCCACCCTTGGAATTGAGGGGCTAGAGGGGGGGTAGCTGACGTCTGAAACCCCAACTTCCCCAGTATAGCGGTACTTTGTCACCAATTTCCAGATGGTTTTCGAGCAGCTTCAGTCCCCAATGAATCCTGTCTTTCCTGCTTGTCTTCTGGGGGCGGGGGCGACACCACTCTCTGTTTGGCGCGTATCACTGGCTGTTCGCAACGCTCCTCCGTCTCCACGTTCTCCCCCTCCTCTGCCTCCAGCTCCGTCCCCAAATCCAATACCGTGGCATCATCCGTCACACCCTCTGCCATCACAGCTGCTTGCAGTCCTCAGACAGAAGAATAAAGCATCTCCGACTTTCTGTCAGCCTCCTCTGGAACCACCTGTGCTCCGCCGAACAAACACCACACGCACACACTCAAAGGTGAAGCTATCTGGTTTAATCGTAGCTTACATGGTGGTCATACAGTAAGCGCTGAAGTTTTCTGATGAAAAACAAAGTCGGAGACGCCCGATTTCTCCGCTTATCTGGCTTTATAGAACGCCCCCAAGCGCCCCGCCCTTGCTCAATTGTGCATTTAAAGTGACCGCGCTATTTACTCCTTCAGGTTCGTTGTGGATTGCCAGTTATTTCCGGATCTTGCTGTCCCTCGTATTGAAGGGCGTTTGTTTCCTTTGACATTGTTTTATTGACCCTGTCCCCAGATTCCCTATACCGTCCACCACCTGATATCACTGTGCCCTGCTAAACGCTACAACACCCCCCTTCACCATGTCTCTGTTCTTCTGGCTTGTCACAGTCCCTGGGATCATGTGTCAAGGGAATGGCTGACACTCGACAAGAAGAGGAAATCAGAAAAAAAGAACAAGCTTTGATATTGAATCCAGCAGATAAGAAAATAAAAGAGGCAATTAATTTATTGTGAGGGCAATTTAATATGTTAATGGCAGATCAGGTCGCAACTAATTTGCAATATGCTAAACATAATACTTTTTGTAATGCTAATAAACCAGGGAGGTGGTTAGCATATTTGTTAAGGAAAAAACAAAAGTCACGGACCATAGAGAAAATAGAATATAAAGGTAAAGAGGTTTATCAGCAAAATATGATTTAAAAAGCATTTTTAGAATTTTATATGAGGTTGTATGCTAGTGATAATATTCAAGGTACAGATATAGATATCTACAGAAAGAGAATATTCTTACAATTACAAAAGAGCAAAGGGAGGGTTTAAATCAACCAATAACCACTGAGGAGATTATGTTTGCAATTAAGCAGTTGAAAGTGGGTAAAGCTCCTGGGACAGATGGCTTGACGGCTGCTTATTATAAACATTTGCAGTTAGAAATGGTGGGACCACTTACTAATATACAATCTGGAGGAGATGTACCCCCATCTTGGAGGACAACTTATATTTCTTTGATTCCAAAGAAGGAGCAAGACCACACCCAGCCAAAAAATTATAGGCTCATATCACTCTTAAATACAGATTACAAATTTGCTAAAATATTAGCAAATAGGTTAATGACAGTTATGCAACAAATGATTCATAATGATCAAACTGGTTTTATAAATGGTAGGCCAATGAAGAGTAATGTAAGGCAAGTTGTTAATCTATTGGAGTATTTGGGGAAGAACAACCAAATCCCTGCGGTGCTGATATTTCTTGATGCAGAGAAAGCATTTGATCGATTGAATTGGCAATTTTTATTGAAAATAATAGAAAAGATGCAGTTTGGGGAACATTTCACAAAATCTATTAAGGCAATATATCAGAAACAAACAGCGCAAATAATAATTAATGGTAGTTTAACAGATACTTTTAATATAGAAAAAGGAACAAGACAAGGATGCCCTTTGTCTCCATTACTGTTTATTTTGACTTTGGAATTTTTGTTGAGTAAGATACGTGGGTCGGACAAAATAAGTGGAATTAAGTTTAGGCAGTATGACTATAGATTACGAGCATTCGCAGACGACTTGTTTGTTACTTTAACCCAACCATTACAGTCAGTTGTAGGTCTAATGGATATAATTAATCAATATGGACAAGTATCTGGATTTAAAATAAATGCAGGGAAAATGAAGATAATAACTAAAAATATGACTATAAATCAAAAAGAAGAATTAGAAAGACTAACAGGATTTGAAATTGTAAAAAAAGTTAAGTATTTAGGGGGTCTATATTACGACATCAAATGCAAAATTATTAAGTATAATTATGATCCGTTGTGGCAAAAAATACAGAGAGAGATGGAAAACTGGAAAAAATTACAATTATTCTTGCTAGGAAGCATAGCAGCAGTAAAAATGAATGTTTTGCCTAAGTTTTTGTTTCTTTTTCAAATGATACCAATACTTAAAAAAGATGAGAATGTGAAGATATGGCAGAAGGGTATTAATAATTTTGTTTGGGCAGGGAAGAGACCGAGAATAAAACAAAAAATAACGCAGGATATACGTGAAAGAGGAGGTTTCAAAATGCCTAACTTAAGACTATATTATGAAGCAGCTGTTCTATCAGCAATGAGTGATTGGATGAATTTAACAGAAGAAAGAATATTGAATACTGAGGGATATGATCTGGTTTACGGGTGGCATGCTTATTTATTATACGATAAGAAAGTGGACAAGACTTTTAAAAGTCATATATTAAGGAATGCTCTATTGCGTGTCTGGAAAAAGTACAAGTATAAGCTAAACGAGAAGTTACCATTGTGGGCAATACCCAGACACGAGCAAAGGCAGGATGTGATTACATATAAAGAGCTTCTTAACAAGGAAAGAGGTATACTACAATTAAAATCTTTGAATCAACTAAGAGAAGAAAGGACAATTCGAACATGGTTTCAATATGTACAGTTGCAAGCTAGATGGAGAGAAGATCAGAAAATTGGTTTTCTGCAAAATGAGGAGAACTTGGCAAAACAGATTAGAGATCAAAGTCAAATGCATATAAAAAGGTTGTATAATGCGTTGGTAGAAATAGATTCAGAAACGGAGTTAGTTAAGGACTGTATGATAAAGTGGGCACAAAATATTGAAGAACCAATAATGATGGAAACGTGGGAAAAAATATGGGTTAGAAATGTTCACACAACTTAAACTTAAGAGAGAATTTTTATAAAATGTTTTATAGATGGCATCTGGATCCTAAAAAGCTAGCCTGTATGTATCCAAGTGTGCAACCTAAGTGTTGGAGATGAGAATGTGATGATGCCACGTATTATTATATATGGTGGACATGTAAAAAAATTAAGGCATTTTGGATAAAAATATGGTGGATTATTCAAAATATTCTCAAAAAGAAGATAAAATTTACTCCACAGTTCTTTTTGTTAGGCTTAATTACAGATTGTACTGTTATAGAGACTAAGTTGATTTTAAATTTAATAACAGCAGCCAGACTCTTGGTGGCACAGTATTGGAAGAAGGAAGACTTGCCTACTATTGAAGAATGGACACTAAAAGTAGTGAATTTAGCAGAGATGGCTAAAATTTCAGCGTATTTGAAGGACCATTCAAATGAAAGATATATATTGGAATGGAGAAGATGGATTGACTATATTCAAAACAAATATCAGACTAAAAAGTTTCAAATAGCTTATGAATGAAATCTATATTTCCTTTTTGAATATGTTTAGTTAGTTGAAAGGGGAGTTAAAGAGCAAGGGGGAGTTTGGATACCACAGAAAGTTAGCTTATTTTAGCTTATGTTTGTTATGCTATACCCTGTTTTTGCTCTGGGAAATCCGGGGGATGGGGGGGAGGGAGGTTGGAGGGAGTGGGGGGAGGGGGGGAGGGGGGAAAATTGTTGTAATGATTGTTAAAAAAATTTAAATAAAAGAAAAAGAAAAAAGTATTAAAAAAAATTCAGTCTGTAAATTTCCAAAACATTTTTCTGGATTGTACCTGAGGTTCTAAACTTCTACTATCAAAATTTTATACATATCTTATATGGTAGACTTCCCTATTTCAGGTTCCTTTCACAGATATTATAGAATGTCAATTCCTATAATCAATGGTGTGCTGGAAGTGGCTCTTAGCAGCTTGCAAGAGATAGTTGTTAAATTTTCAGCAATTTTGCATGCTGGTAGTTAAATCCAATTAAAATCCAAAATGGCATCTGGGAAAGTGGTCCATTATTATGGAGGAGCTGGTGTGTTGTTTTTTGTGTTTCAGTATGCTTGTCTTTCTTGGATGCCCCACTAGCATGGTAATTTTTATAATTCTTATTGTTCAACATGTACTAAATGTTTAATAGCTTGCAGATATCAGTGGTTAGAAGTTGTTAGAACAACAAAAAGAAATTTATGGACTATTTAATCATGATTGTCTATTACTATAATTGACTGATACAACAGCAGTCACTGTTGTATCTTGAAAGATGGGGAGAAAAAAATCTTCCTAATAATAAACAATAATGCTATTACAATTCTTACTTGGGAATAAACCCAATTCAACTCAGTGGAACTTATTTCTGAATGCCAGAAAGTATGTATTATCCATCCCTGATAGAAATACAGGGAAATGGCTTAAATTTAGAAAACCATTAATCTATCTAGTTTAGGAAATCTAGAGTGATTGGTAGAAACACTTCAATACTTTAGACCTTGGAAATGACACAGATTGAATGATTACTTATTAGCAAAACCTGTCATTAAATGACAACCTCTCCCTCAAATATCTATTGCATATTTTACAACATGAGCACTTTCCCTTGATAAACAAATATTTATTTTTCAGTTTAAACTCACCTCTTTAATTATCTTTGCTCCCTTGGCCTTCTTCATATTAACAGCTATACTCTAGTAAAAAGAAAATATGTAATTCTCTTAGTAATATAAAAACAACTTTCTATTTAGTTATTGACTCAGTACATTATTGAAAAAAAATCCACTTAGAACATTAATGAAAGAAAGAGTCAATCACATATAATAGCTGTTTCACCTTTAAACAATGCTGTGTATATGCATATGCAGCAGGAACTGCCTAAGTAAAAACAGTGAATTGAATGCTTTAAAAAGTTTAGCATTATAAGGAAGACTTTTTATTACCTTTTTATTTCTATTTACACTGAGAAAATAGACACTTTCAGTTCCAACAAATGGTGGCCCCCAGGATCGAGTATCATCCCCCGATCCTAAAAGTAAGAATGGCTAAAATTAGCACATTTCTAGCAACATCCTATATACTTATGTGATTAGAAATCACATTGCTATCCCAAATTCCAGTTTAAATTATGGCCTTCAAATCCTTTAATAGCGTATAAAAGTATTATTTTCAAAAGTTTTAGTACTAAAAACTATGGCTGCATAAAATTCAATCCAATTAAATTGACGCAATATAGATCAAGATATTACTACTATAATACAAAAGTATTATAACTCTTTAGAAAAGCATGTAACTATGTAAGAAAATATTTCTGCATTCACTCCATTTTATGATTCAAGTCCTCAAGATTATACTTCAAAATGACCCAAACAAAGTTCTACTGTGCAAAACAAGATCAGACTTGATTAAAGCCTTCTTTGATATGCTGTTTTCTAGTAAAAATGAAGTTCTAAAAATAAGAAATCATTTCTGTTTCTAAAGTGGTAAATTCTAATAGGTACATATTGAATCTTTAGATTTGTACCTGGAAAATGATGTATTGCACAGAAACACATTTATATACAGAAAAGCAAACATACAGACAACATGATGATAGATAGATAGATAGATAGATAGATAGATAGATAGATAGATAGATCGATAAATCGATCAGGGGTGTCAAACTCAAGGCGATGTGGTCAGATCTGGCCTGTGCGGCCGTACTGGAAACAGTAAGGGGCAGGCCTGCATCGCTTCATCCCAGCTTCCTGGCAGGCGCATGCTCGCATGCTGTGATGGAGTAGCCGGGCCTGTGCGCGTATGCGCCCATCTCCTCCTGTGTGCCTGCTGGCATGGTATGGGCCGGGACTGTGCGCGCATCCACTGCAGGCCGAGACAAGGTACAGCAGGGGGTGGGGCGGCGGCTGCCAGACACCATTGGCCTGCCTACTCCATCCCATCTGTTTTTGCTTATGGTTGGAGAGCAGGTTGCTGTTGGTCATCTCCTCAGCCTCCTTGTGAGTCTTGCCCTTGGCCGCCCGTGGAGCGCGTTCCCATTGCACAACCGACACACCTCGACACGACTGTGGGCCGCTGCCACTACTGAGGCTGCCAGCAGCTTGTGCAGGTCCATTAGGCCGCTGCCATCACTGCCAAGAACACCAGGCCCACCAAGCACAATGGAGGCGAAGAGGTCAGCTAGAAAGCTTGAGTATAGGTGGTACAGCATGCTCAGGCCCAACAGGGAAACGGCAGCCACCGCAAACAGGGAGGCTGGGTCCCCATCAGCATTATGGCTGCCCAGGCCCAGCAAGGATCAGGTGCCTCCATCTCTGCTAGGCCTGGACTGCCATAGCACTGATGAGGACTCAGCTTTCCCCGCTCACGGTGTCTGCCTTTTCCCCGCTCACAGCCTTTCTACCTGGCCACTTCATCTCCTTCAGGCTGGGCAGATCTGCTGAGAGGCGACAGCAGCGGGTCTACCAAACGGCAGCAGTGGCAGACCACGGTGAAGCTGAGATGCATTGGCTGTGCGAGGGGAAGATGCTCCATGCGCAGGCCAAGGGCAAGACCCATGAGGGGCTGATGAGAAGATGACCAGCAGCGACCTGCTCTCCACTCACAAGCAAAAACAGACAGTGGGACGGAGTAAGACGGAGTAAGTGCATCCAGCGATCCACATCATGTGTCTCCACCCAGCCTCCATCTGCTGCTGATGCCCCTGTCACGCATGCTGCTGGGACAGTGAGCTTGGTGGAGCAGGCTCCAGAGTTGCAGAGTGTACCATGCACAAAGGGCGCTGAGCAAGTGATGGCTGATGTTTTCCGGCTCCAGCCACTCCACCCCTTGTTCACTTGTGGCAGCAGCACCCCACCCCCACCCCCACCTCCTATGGGACAAGCCTCTCAGCAACCACCACCCCACTCATCGGAGAATCCTGGATTTCCTCCCCAACACCGCCCAGCCCACATGACTGATGTCAAGCTATCCATGCCCCTCAGGCCACACCCACTTGGCCATGATTACCCAAGCCATACACCTCACCCCCACCCCGAGGACAGCCACAATGCTGATGCAGCCCACAATAAAATCAAGTTTGACACCCTTGAGATAGAGACAGACACACAGACGTATGCAAAGAATCTTCTGCAATAACAGATATGTGTGATATAAATGCTTATAGCAATTACTTCAACATCTAGAATTCTGATAAACAACACGTGCACATTTATCATTTTTTGCTCTAGAAGATGCACTTTTTTGTCCTCCAAAAGTCGGTGGAAATGTCTGTGGGTCTTATGGAGCAAATATTGCATCACAGACCGGGCCTATTACCGCCACCGCCTATCGCCGCCACCTGTTGCCACCCTATCACCGCCATCTTTTTCTGCCATTCGGTGCTGCTCACACAGCGGACGGCAGCAGTGGCAATAGGTGGCGGCGATCCCCGCTGCCTGGAACAGCTGATCAGCAGCATTTCGGGAGGCTGATCCAATAGGTGATAGGCAGCAGTAGCAGCAGTAGTAAGCAGCAGTGGTGAGTGGCAGTGGCAGCAGCAACCGGCAGCAGTGACTGGTGGCAGCGATCGGCGGCGGTGATCGGCGGCAATAGCCAGGGAACGTTAGCAAAGGCTCCAGCGTTCCCCAGCAGAGGCAGCAGATACAGAGAAGGCAGCAATAGCCCTGTTTCTGGTTGGCCAGCCCACTGATTGGCAGGGCTGCAGGAGGCCAGGATCCAGCTGTCGCTCAGCTGACTGGTGGTGGGCGCAATGGAGCAGAGCTCTGATGAGCCACATGCTGGGGCTGGGAGGCAGAGGCAGATTTTTTGTTTTCTTGTTTTCCTCCGCAAAAACTAGGTGCGTTTTATGGTCTGGAGCACCTTATGGAGCAAAAAAACTAGTAACATATTGAGAGTACATATATTTCTAATCTATTTTAGAGAAAAATAAAGTAGATGTTACTATTATTCAGCCATTTTTTGAAATGCAGGACAACGCATGCAGAATTTAGCAGTTAGAATCAAGGGGAAGTTTATAATCATTTCCACAAACAGCAGTCACCTATCAGATTTGTAAATAAGGATATATTTCATTTCATCTTCACCATGATGAGCAATATATGGCTTTCCAGTTGTTACTAGATGCCAATTACTGTCAACTCTTTTGAACATCCTAATTTAAAAGATGTTAATTCATGATAATCAATAACAAGAGAATGAGCACATATTGTCCACAACCTTCTCATTGCTTTTCATAACCTCACAATAACTGACATCATGTTGAGAAACAATTGGGTCATTTGTAGCACTTTACCAGGGATTCCAATCAATAGATCATATTTATTTTCACTGGTCACTCCAGATGAAAAACATGATAGAGAAGTTAATAATGATAGTTCAATTTTTAAAATATTATTGATATTTAAAATTCTATTTAAAGCAGATATTTTAAGATGTCTTGAATTAACAAAGCAAAATAAAAATGCTTTAGTATTCTATTAAAATGTTACATGTTTCAAGAATTTAAAGAAAGAGAAGTTTCATTTCTCTATTTGGTTTTATTTTATATATTAATGTTTTGTATATTTAAAGCCTTGAGATAAAATGTCTTAGATGTATTTAAGTTTTTGTGGAACTGTGACCACTGTATAATCCCATGTTTTCCAATTTTGAGACAGGATGAAAAATCTCTATTCATATTTTCATACCATATTACTATCATAATTTTCTTTTCACTATTCCCTGCTACTCCTACATTAGTTATATTTAATATGCTTCTCATGAAAAATTAAAGTAGTCTAGAACTTGTAAAAAAATGTCATTCCATAAGTATCTTTCATATTTTTAAAAAAATAATTTTTACCTGGTTTTTCCACTTTGATTACTTCAGCTCCAAGATCCCCGAGGTTCATAGTGGCAAAAGGTCCTGCAAGTACTCTGCAACATTTCATAATGAAATTGATGTATGTATGCATACATTTATTTATTTTATAGGATTCATAGCCTAGGGCCGTGATGGCAAACCTATGGCACGCATGCCACAGGTGGCATGTGAAGCCATATTGGTGGGCACCTGAGCGTTGCCCTAGCTCAGCTCCAGAACACATGCGTGCGCTGGCCAGCTCATTTTTGGGCTTTCTGGGCCCAACGGAAGTCGGCAAACGGGCTGTTTCTGGCCTCCAGGGAGGTGGGGAAGGCTGTTTTTGCCCTCCCCAGGCTCCTAGAAAGCCTCTGGAGCCTGGGGAGGGCATAAAACGGGCCTACCGGGCCCACCAGGCCATCACATGCCAAAAGCAGGGGGAGCATGGGGGGGTCATGCATGCATGCGTGGGGCAGCAGGACACATAGAATTATGGGTGTGGGCATGCATGTGCGCGACTATCCCGCACTCCCCCAGCTTTTGGCACGTGATGGCAAAAAGGTTAGCCATCACTGGCCTAGGGCCATCTGTCTCATATAATTATTCTAGGCAGCTCACAACAATCCATAAAACATGGCTAAAAAGAAGAGAGCTCTTCCCCCAGGCACTAGACCAAGCATCCTCTCACATTCTAGCTCAATATTTGGGAAAGTGCCAGGTCCCCAGGGCCCTCCACATTAGAGATCCCTGGGAGCACAGGTGGAAGGCTGTTCCAAAGGCCTGCAGCAGCCACCAAGGTACATCTCTGAGGTCTCATCAAATGGCAACATTTAAGAGAATGGAACACATCCATTCAAACTAACCTAGGCAATCCAGCAAATAACAAAAATATTAACATTTTAAAAAATTTATTAAGAATTTTCTCATAAATAAAAGACAAATCAAAAAATAAAGGACGGAGGGAGGGAGGGAGGGAAAGTAAGAAAAAGAGCAAGAAAAAAAATACAAAGAAAGGAAGGGGGAGAAACTATCGAAATACATTATTTCCTAACTTCTTTCACCAAATACCGTACTTTTCAGAGTATAAAACACACAGGAGTATAAGACGCACCTACCTTTTTTGGTGAGAAAAAGAAGAAAAAGTAATCTCCCTCTGCCTCTGCTTCCCAGCAATTTTGCCTCATTCCAGCAAACGGCAAACAACCTGCTTTACTTTCATTTTCGTTTTCAGCACAGCTTGATTAGCACAAAGAAAAAAAAATCTGCTCTAGCAATTTACCTCTTTGCAGCAAGCAGCAGAGCCCTGCGCAAAACAGCTAAGAGCAAATCAGCTGAAAGTCGGGAGGCCGATCCAATCAACTTGTGCTAATTAGCCTGTGCTGAAGCTGAAAGCTGTTTTTTCTTGTTGTTTGCTTGCAAGGAGGTAACTGCTGCGAGGCAGAGACCAAAGGATGGGGACCAGTGGGTGGGCGGGGCTACATTCGGTGTATAAAACGCACCTAAATTTTCACCCCTTTTTAGGGGGGGAAAGGTGCGTCTTATACTCCGAAAAATACAGTAATTACAATCTTATTGTCCCTCCCCTTAAAATTTTAACATTTTTGTTAAAGACTTTGCATGAGGCGATTTAATAATTCTCTGAACTACATCCAAAGCAGTACAAACCTTGTTAGATCAAGAATTCTCACACCATCAAGTGGCTTCACTGTATCAGCACCTGGTAATGAACAGAAAAATGCTATTATAATCAGTTAATTATCAGGCTGATGTCATTTTTCAGGGGAGGGAAAGTTCACTTTAATTAGCATAATTTGCAACTTCTAAACATACATCATGAAGAGCAAATTTCTGCAAAGACCAGAAGCAGGGAAAACCTCTAGCAATTTTTTTTTAAGTTTGATTGGATTTTTATTATTAAATATATATCAATATCCATACATGAACAGTGTGGCCTCTGGGTATAATTCATTTTGATACAACTAGCGATAATAATATTAATGTTTGTTACATTAATCAAATTTATGTAATCCTAGTATTAATATACATGTTTGTTTTAAAGTCGTCATTCAATATTTCAATGTTCCATTTTAATGCCAATGATATGATTTAAGCATACAAATACCATCTTTCAGCCTCTAATCTTTCCATCTAGTTATTGCTTATGTTCTATTATATAAACATTAAATATGCTAATATTCTCCTTTTCTTATTTCTACCTCTATTCTGGCTTCTAGTCAGGCCACCATTACTAATCCTAGTGTTAATACACATGTTTATATTAAGACATAGTTCTTCATTATTTGGTTGTTCAGTGTTTCAATATACCATTCTAATACCATTCGTCATATTATTTAAGCATATATAATAATATCATCTTTCAACCTCCAATCTTTCATTTAACTATTGCTTTATCTAAAAGTGTACATTCTTATTTCTATCTCTATTCTAGTTTTTAATCAGGCCATAATTATATTAGGGAAAAAATATTTCCTTTCTATCCATCATCTCTTGCCTGTTTTAATACTTCAATTATTAGTTTTTTAGCTTGACTCCCAACCTCGTCTCTTGGAGCTTTGTCTCTATCAACATCTGCCAAGATCTGCCTTCTTCACCATTCAGTCTGAATATTTCTCCCATCTCTATCCTGGTAAGCTGCTAGGTCTCCACAGTATCCACCTAAACCCCTATCTCCCTTTCAAAGTATCTTCCAGTTTATCCGATTCCATTTTTAAATCTCTTAAAATACTTTTCCCTTGGTTTATTTCGTCATTATTATCTTTATCATCTTCTCCTTCTCATCTTCTTGCTTTATTTGCTGATTTCTCTGTTCTATCTTTTCCTCTATTATTTCTGTTGTCTCCTCTCTTTCCTGGACTCTTTGACCTTCATTCATTATCAGTTGTAGGATATTTTCTATTTTCCCATTTATGCCTTGCACTAGGTTCTTCATCACTCTGTGATTCTTTGTCATAATATCCTTAATGCTTTGAAACAGCAATGCCATTTCTTTTGAAATCTCACTCATTTCCCCCTGAAGGAGCATCTTGTCTTATTTTGTTAAGTCCCACTCTTAGTCAACAGTCCAAAAACAATATATTCACGTCCAATGTTGCTCCTCAGAAAGTTCAATGATAATAGTTCTTTACATCTCAGGATTATTAATCTGTTTATTTCTCTTACCTAAAATTTGCAGGCTTGTAGAGGTATGATATATTTTCCATTCACCAGTAGATGGTTTCAGCGTTGTTTTGAGTCTAACAAACTGATTAGTCCAAATTTAATTCAATTTATGGGAGCAAAGTCAGCTATTCAAGTAGATAGTTCCAGCGTTTTATAATGCATTTCCAGAACAACGCCTACCCAGTTAAAAGTCCAATTTTCTGTTTTAAAAGATCTTTAGCTTTTCTCCCCTTACTTACTTTCTTTCGGGTCTAGGATTTTTCTCTCTATTGTTATTCACTGCTTTAAGAAATAGTTCTAAGAGTCCTCTGGAGTCCATTTAAGATCATGCCTATTGCTTCAGTGACTCAATTCTTTGGCGCTCAGCCTTTCTTATGGTCCAACTTTCACAGCCATATATTGCAACTGGGAAAACCATAGCCTTGACTATACACACTATTGTTGGCAGGGTGATGTCTCTGCTTTTTACTATGCTGTCTAGATTTGCCATAGCTTTGCTCCCCAGGAGCAACCAGTTTCTTGGCTGCAGTCCCCATCTGCGGTGATCTTGGAGCCCAGGAAAATAAAATCTGTCACTACCTCCATTTCTTCCCCATCTATTTGCCAGGAATTGAGAGGGCCGGATGCCATGAGCTTAGTTTTCTTAATATTGAGTTTCAAGCCAACTTTTGCACTCTCCTTCTTTACCAGCATCAAGAGGCTCTTTAGTTCCTCTTCACTTTCTGCCATTAAAGTGGTATCATCTGCATATCTGAGACTGTTGATATTTCTCCCAGCAATCTTAATTCCAACTTTTGATTCATCTAGCCCCACCTTTCTCATGATGTGCTCTGCACATTAAGTTAAATAGGCAGGGCGACAGTATACAGAAGTGATGGCTAACCTTTTTGCCACTGCGTGCCAGGAAGGGGGGGGTCATGTGTGTACGTGCCCACACTCATAATTCTATGCACTCCGCCTCCACGCATGTGACCCCCCTGCTCCTGGCACATGATGGCACAGTAGGCCCATTTTTCTCTCTCACCTGGCTCTAGGGCCTCTCTAGGAGTCTGGGAAGGACGAAAACGGCCTGCGCACCCACCCACCCCCGGAGATCCTCTGGAGACTGAAAACGACCTGTTTGACAATTTCCAGTGGGACCTGAAGGCCTGTTTTTTGCTGTCCCCAGCCTCCAGGGCCTCTCTAGGAGTGTGGGGAAGGCGAAAATAGCCTTCCCCACCACCACCCCGGATGTCCTCCGGAGGCCGAAAACGCCCATTAGACAACTTCCAGTCCCACCTTCATGCCCTTTTTGACCTCTGGACGACCTCTGGGGGTGGGGGAAGCCATTTTCGCTCTCCCCAGACTCCTATAGCATAGTCAATGAAGCAGAAGTAGATGTTTTTCTGGAACTCCCTAGCTTTCTCCATGATCCAGCATATGTTGGCAATTTGATCTCTAGTTCCTTTGCCTCTTCAAATCCTGCCTGTACTTCTGGTAGTTCTTGATCCACATACTGCTGGAGCCTAGCTTGTAGGATTTTAAGCATAACATTACTAGCATGTGAAATGAGTGCGATGGTGCGATAGTTTGAACATTCTTTGCCTTTGGAATTGGAATGTAAACTGACCTTTTCCAATCCTGTGGTCACTGTTGAGTTTTCCAAAATTGCTGGCAAATTGAGTGTAGCACTTTTACTGTATCGTCTTTTAAGATTTTGAATAGTTCAACTGGAATACTGTCACCTCCACTAGCTTTGTTGTTGCTCAGATTTCCAAATGCCCGTTTGACTTCACATTCTAGGACAGTGATGGCTAACCTTTTTGCCATCGCGTGCCAGGAGAGGGGGGGCGGAGCGGGTCACGCGCGCACGTGCCCACGCACATGCGCACGCAACCCCACTCACCCCCGCTACTGGCACATGAAGGCCTGGTAGCCCATTTTTCTTTCTTACCTGGTTCCAGGTTTCTGATTCTGCTGGAATACTGGTTTAGGTAAACCAGTTTTCTGACTCAATAAGGCAAATTTCTGATTAATGAAAAATGGATCGGTTTAATTGCAGCATTGGTAATCACTTAAATCCATTATCAAGCATTCTCTGCCTGTCTCCAAGAGAAGCCCCAGCCTCAGTTGTTCAGGAGAGAGATAAAATAGAGACCTATAGGTAATCTGCTTAAATTCCTAGAGGAAAAGTGGGAATAAAAATTAATAAAATAATAAAATTAATAAACAAGTTATGTTGAAAATGTCAATCTCTATTACAAAGTGCAGTGCTATAAAGATTCCCACAAGCCAAAATCAGCTCCTGATGACTTCAAAATCACGTAAATTCATGGACACATCTTACAAAAGTGGTTTGTGGCCTTCTTTTCAGATTTTTTTTTTCAACTTCTCAGATTACTATACCAACATTAGGATCTCATTAACCGTCTTCCAGCCAAATACTGTGTAGCCAATTATTTCCTTCACTTTTTTAGATCAATAAAGATTAGCTATCTGCTGTGACTTAACTAGGTATAAACCTGTGTTAATAATGTAATTATTTAATTATTTTCTTGCAATGAATATTTAAGCCATTCTATACACTATTTAATGTAATTTGTAAAAACACTGTAATTTAATTGGAAATAATTCTCCAGTTAAAGCAGGTTATTTTTAGATAGCAACTGTAAGCATTACTTTCTATTCAATATATCCAGTTATACTCAACACACATTTCAGAGGTGATAACCTACAAAATAAGCAAAGAGAACCCTGACTTTTTTTTCTAGAAATCCTATCTTTCGCTGACAGAGGACTAGCCCTGACACACACTTTGGAAATTTTGGTTTCCAAAGATTTGCATTTCCAAGATAAGATTTACTAAACTTCCCCCAAATTTGCAAGTGTTATGATCTCGTTTGATTTTGATTAATTATGGGCCATCAAGTCGTTTCCGACCCTAGCGACCACACAGCTATGCTTTATTTTTACGAATTGCTCCAACTTATTATATTCTGTTGCAAATGAAAGGTTCCGAAATGGGGTTTCTCCTGAACGCTTTCTCTAAAGCTCTTCTCTGCTGCGGTATACAGCTTCTTATGATAACGTATCACAATCTTCGGCAATGCCTTGACTGAACGGAGAATGTTAAAAATCGGCTACCTGGATGGGGGCAGTTTCCCTGCTGCAGTCCCCGGAAACTGCCAGAACAGGAGGGAAGTCGCAAGAGTTGAGGGAAGGCCCGGGGACCGAGAAAGGAGCCGACGCCGATATCCAGCGGCGAACATAGGCCTTTCCACAGATGATATATAGTGCGGCTGTTTCTTCCCATTTTAGCCCCCAACATGCCGGAAGCTGACATTGGCCGCCGCTGAAGCTGACTCGCAAAGCAGCGGGAGGGCTGACATCAGCACTACAAAAAACTTTGGACTCTTGTACCAAGTCTTCGAAGGCGTCCACTGCGCAGGCGCGATGGATACCTTGTTTCTGAAACCAAGCGAGGCAGTCCGGGGGACGGGGAGTGAAAGGACACAAGCACGAGCTTTGAAATTATATTTTAGAAGCTGTGTGCTAAGAAATGATTCCCGCCTCTCCTTTTTTTTTTTTTAACGCCGTTGAAGATCTATCCGTTTTAGGTACCATTAGGATGGAATAATCTGCAAGCCTGAGCAAAAATGCTGCTTTTTTTTCTTGAGGCAAATGCAAGCATAAAAGGGAGCTTAGAAGGAAACAAGAAATATAGAAAAATAACGTTGCAGTTTTGCCGCCCCCTTTTAGTCCCCTTTCAGATTGATCGATCAGCAAAACATGAAAGAGGGATCTTACTACAGTTTAGCCTCGCAGCCCAAGCACGTACAACTCGGAAGCTACTCCCTCCAAAATCAGCCAGCTTCGTTCCAAAGTCGGGTACGTAGATTGGGAACGCGTCCAAACATTGCGCGATTTAAAGAGAAATTCCGTACCAAGAAAATACTCTAGAAATTGAGATACTACTTGAAAACGTAGCAAGAGGCCAACATACAATTCCAAATAGGCTAAAGGAATACCCACTATATTGGAATAACTAAATGAATAAATTATCAATTGTATTCAATTATATTGAAACTTTAGATTTGTACCGCACGCCCGTACGAAAAATTGTAATTGGATAACTAGATTCGACTAATGTATCCTACATATTGCAAAAACGTTAAGAACACGCAAGTAAAACGTCTCAATTTCTAATTCACACGGAAGAAGACGTCAAGCCGGCAGCGCGAAACGGAAGACGCTCGACGGAGCAGTTTCGAAGGAGGGCTGCAATCGAATCGACCCGGAACTCCTCCTCCTCCTCCTCCGGAGTTTACAAGGCGAAGGAAATCGGCGGTTGCTGTAGGGGCATTCACGAGATCGCCATGTATCGGCAGGGCTTCCGGCCTCCCACTCCGCCGTCTTCGAGTGGCTCCGGGTTTTTGAGCCCTGCCTCTGGAGGAGCCTCTCCACAAGGCTATCGAAGCCCTCGCCACATGTCGCCTTACGGATCCCGCTCGCGGCCGTACGACATTTCTCCTCGCTCTCCCCGCTTCCAAACGTGCGGGGACGGTGGAGGCTGGTTTGGAGGCTCGGCAGGGGCGCACACACCATGTAGGCCCCACAGCGCCAGTCCCAGCCACTTGGCTCCCTACAGTGGTGGCAAGTCCCCCGGAGGAGCATTTTACCAGCAGCAGCCCTTCAAGCAGCCGCCTTCGGGGGGCTACCAGAGATACAACCAGGTATTTACTGGGGGAGGAGGGGGGTAGACATAACCGGGGTCGTTCACGGTTCAGCCATTCAGCCCCTGCTGATTTCTGAATTTGCGTAGAATGAAGCCTGCCCTTTTTGCACGCCTGTTTAGTATCCAGTCAGCAGACATGTAACATTCAATTATGCCTTTTAACATGAAATCGCAATTATGCCGAATATTGATAGTCTAAATACGTGTAAATCGGAAATTTAGTACAAATAAACGGGTTTCTGTTAAGTTGGGGCTCTGAGAAAAACGTCTGCAAAAAAACTGAGGAGGATCGTGGTACTTTCAAGGCCTGGAGGATCCAACCACTAGATATGTATAACAAACCTAGGCAATCTATTCCATAAAATAAATAACAGCCAGGTTTATATACCATACAGTATCTTTGACAGTTTCTGGATTGACTACTCTCTGAGAAAATCAAGAAACACCCCCTTTTTGAAAATGAAGGATGTTTCTGCCCCCCTATTTTTCAACAAAAACAAAGGATTTTCCTCTTCATTTGTTTCTGAACCCCATTCGGACCCCAGTTGAGCAGTTCCAAAATTCAGGCTGAGGATGAATGTAAACAACCAGATATGCACAATATTGATTGATTTCACTCATATGAGAATAAGCCCTATTAGACACAGGAGCCTCTAACTTCTAAGTAAACTTGCATGCACTGAAGATTTCAGCTCTAAATTTGCACTCCACTGAATTCCTAACAGAAAAAAATAGGATGTTCAACCAGTTTCACAAACTGGTAGTAAATACTTGTGATAATATGTGGGAACTTGGAAGATGGGAGAAAAGACCCATAGCCTAAGCCAGGGGTCTGCAACCTTAAACACCCAAAGAGCCATTTGTACCCATTTCCCACAGGAAAGAAATCACTGTGAGCCACAAAACCTTGATGGGCGTGGCCAACTCAATGTTACTCACTCCCACCCAGTCACATGACACACACACACACACAGAGCGATGCCGACCCAGATTTTGTGGCTCCCGGTGTTTTCTGTGGGAAACAGGTATCTGTCTCTGTTTCTCTCTTTCCCTCTATCTCTCCCTCTCTCTTGTCTCTTCCTCTGTCTCTCTCTTTCTCTCTGTCTTTCTTTTTCCCCTCCCTCCCTCTCTCTCTTTTTCTCCCTCATCATATCTCTCTGTCTGTCTGTCTCTCTCATGAGCGTGTGTGTGTGTGTGTGTGTATGTGTGTTCCCTCTTGAACCATTTCCAAAAACATGTTATTCTTCTTTGGGTGCTTTTTACCATATAATCAAGAGTCATTTCAGGTTTCCAGATAAAATGAAGCTCTTTTGTCCCCTGCTGTGACTCCCTGTTGGCTGAACCCACCACTGGTTGGCCCCTCCCCTTCCCAGTCATTTCTCGCCTGGCCTGAGAGGGAAAGGGCAACGGCGGGGGATGGAGACTCACTCCATATTCCAGAATAGAAGCAAAGCGCCCCTGTACTTGTCTTATCACTTGGGTACTTCTTCCACCCCTTGTTGCTGTGCTCACCTCAGTCGCTCAGGGAGATGCGCAACTTGCTCTTCACCCCAAGACACTGGCCCGGCCCAGTTGCAGCTGATGCTCTGTGTCGTAATGGGCTCCAGGAGGAGGAGGGGATGTAGTCTCCCCCATTGTGAAGCGCTAAATTTAACTGCTGCACAAGACACTGAAAGAGCAGTGGGCAAGCCATGGAGGCGGCGAGAGCAGCGGCATTGGCCGCAGCCAGGCCGGGCCAGTGTCTCAGGGCAGACAGCAAGTTGCGCATCTCTCCAAGCAACCAAGGTGCGTGCAGCACTAACAGCCTGAAGAAGCACCCACAAGACCCAGCAAATACAGGGGTGCTTCACTTCCGCTCTAGAATATGGAGGGAGTCTCCATCCCCTGCCGTCACCCTTGCCTTCTCAGGCTAGGTGAGGAGTGACTGGGAGGGCGAGGAGCGGGGCCAGCCAGTGGTGGGTTCAGCCGACAGAGAGCGACAGCAGGGGGACGAAAGAGCTGCATGCGGCTCTGGAGCCACGGGTTGCCGACAACCGGCCTAGGCAACCGACTGAGAAGAGGCAGCTTAGTCCACAGGAGAAGCTGGAGCTTTGGACCGCGTCGTGCCTTTGCGGCCTCTGACCCGATGCCGATCTCAACTGGCTCCTTGGTTTTCTGAGGAGCTGAGAGAGATGAAGCGTCGGAAAAGACGCCTAGAGAGCATTTGGAGGACTAGCCAATCCGACTCCGACCGGACACAGGTGAGGTCTTATATCAAGACCTACCTAGTGGCGATAAAAGCGGCAAAGTCTAACCACTTTTCCGCTCTTATCGCATCTGCAGAGAACCGCCCAGCCGCCTTGTTTAGGGTGACCCACTCCCTCCTCCGGGGGGGAGTGCGGGAAGATCCCTTGCAGGGTCGCGCTGAGGATTTTGTGCAATTCCTGCACGATAAAGTCGCTCGGATTCGGGATGGCTTGGACTCCGACTGGATGAGTCCACGGGAGGAGACGAGGGCAGGTCTTGAGAATGTTACCTGGGAGGAGTTTGATCCTGTGACTCCTGAGGATGTGGACAGGGTTCTGGGTAAGATTAGTGCCGCCACGTGTTTATTGGACCCGTGTCCCTCCTGGTTGGTGCTGGCCTCCCGGGAGGTTACACGAGGCTGGCTCCAGGGGATTATAAGTGCTTCTCTGAGTGAGGGGGCCTTTCCTGCCGCCTTGAAAGAGGCGGTAGTGAGGCCCCTCCTCAAGAAGCCTTCCCTGGACCCGGCTGAATTAGCCAACTATCGTCCAGTCTCCAACCTTCGTTTTGTGGCGAAGGTTGTTGAGAGCGTGGTGGCACGACAACTTCCCCGGCACCTGGATGAAGCTATCTATCTAGACCCGTACCAGTCGGGCTTCAGGCAGGGGTACAGCACTGAAACGGCATTGGTCGCGTTGGTGGATGATCTCTGGAGGGCTCGGGACAGGGGTTGCTCCTCTGTCCTAGTCCTATTAGACCTCTCGGCGGCTTTTGATACCATCGACCATGGTATCATGCTGCAGCGGTTGAGGGGGTTAGGAATAGGGGGCACCGTTTTGCGGTGGTTCTCCTCCTTCCTCTCCGACCGCTCGCAGTTTGTGTTGGCAGGGGGACAGAGGTCGACCTCGAGGCATCTCGCATGGGGAGTGCCGCAAGGGTCGGTCCTCTCGCCTCTCCTGTTCAACATTTATGTGAAGCCGCTGGGTGAGATCATCCGTGGTTTTGGGGTGAAGTGTCATCTGTACGCTGATGATACTCAGCTGTACATCTCCACCCCAGACCACCCCAACGATGCCCTTGATGTGATGTCCCGCTGCCTGGAGGCCGTGCGGGCCTGGATGGGGAGGAACAGGCTCAGACTCAACCCCTCCAAGACCGAGTGGCTGTGGCTTCCGGCGCCCCGATATAGTCAGCAGGTGCCATCGCTGACTATTGGGGGTGAATCTTTGCCCCCCACAGAGAGGGCTCGCAATCTGGGTGTCCTCCTGGACGCACGGCTGTCTTTAGAAGAGCACATGACGGCCGTGGCCAGGGGGGCCTTTTATCAGGTTCGCCTGATTCTCCAGTTGCAGCCCTTTCTGGATCGGGACGCCTTGCGCACGGTCACTCACGCCCTTGTCACCTCCCGGTTGGACTATTGTAATGCTCTCTACATGGGGCTCCCCTTGAAGAGCACTCGGAGGCTCCAACTGGTCCAGAATGCGGCCGCGCGGGTGGTTATGGGTGCAACCCGTTGCGCCCACGTGACACCCCTCCTGCGCGAGCTGCACTGGCTCCCAGTGGTCTTCCGGGTGCGATTCAAGGTGTTGGTTACCACCTTTAAAGCGCTCCATGGCATAGGACCCGGGTACCTTCGAGACCGTCTTCTGCCACCAATAGCCTCCCACCGACCAGTCCGCTCCCACAGAGAGGGTCTCCTCCGGGTGCCATCAGCCAAGTTATGTCGGCTGGCGACACCCAGGGGGAGGGCCTTCTCTGTGGGAGCTCCAGCCCTGTGGAATGAACTGCCCCCCGAAATACGAAAGATTTCCGACCTCCGGGTGTTTCGCTGCGCTCTGAAGACCCTGTTGTTCCGCCAGGCAGGGTTACTAACATAACGTTTTAAATTGGGGTATTTTAAATTTCTGGGATTTTAATTGGAGCCTAATTATTTAATGATTTTAAATTTTAAATTGTTGTCGTGTTTTTTGTGTTTTTAAATAGGCTGTACACCGCCCTGAGTCCTTCGGGAGAAGGGCGGTATAGAAATAAAATTATTATTATTATTATTATTATTAGGAGAAAGGCTAGAAAGCAATGCAGAAAGGATCTCCTTAGTTTTTGAAGACTAAAAAAGAGGGGTTTGAACTAATCATTTATGAAGATTCTCAGTTATCCAAGTAATGTTTGTCCCAAAGGTGCTTTTCAAAAGGCAACTGGATTTTCTTGGTTTTTTTCCTTGAAAACTTTTCACTTCTCATTTAAGAAGCTTCTTCAGTTCTAACTGAATATTGGGGAATAGATCATTCTTTGTATTCATCTGATTGTTAGCATTCTGAAGGTCAGTCGGTTAGTTCTCAGAGAGTTTGAGTCCACTTGGGGATTTATCTGTTCCAGTGGTGGGTTGCCCCCGGTTCGCACTGGTTCTATAGAACCGGTAATAAAACCGGCAGGAGGCTCCACCCACTGACCCTGATGTCATCAAAATGCTTCTGCGCTTGCGCAGAAGAACGCACAAGCACGCACGCACGGCCCTGTTGCGAACCAGTAGTAAAGGTAAGTAGAACCCACCCCTGATCTGTTCCCTCAGGGTCACCTAAATCAGAGTGCAAATGAATGTGGAACCTTCTTGGGATTGCTGAAAGGATTGTGCTGTAGACAGGAGATATACCATGTTTCCCTGAATACAACCTATTCAAAAAGTAAGGCCTAGCCTGATTTTTTGGGGGTAAGCCTAATATACACCCTACCCCAAAAATAAGTCCTAGTGGTGGGTGTGGCCAGCACAGGAAGCAG